CAGCCTGTGCTGCACTCCTGGGTTATGTTTTCCCAGATGCAAGACCTTACACTTGTCCTGTTGAACTTCATAAGGCTCTTGTTAGCCCGTTCTTCCAGCCTATCCAGGTCTGCCTGCAGGGTGGCTCTCCCTTGTGCAGTGTCCTCTTCCCCACTCAGTTTGGTTTCATCATGGTACACTTGGTCTCTTCATCTGTCACTGTCCTATTGCTGCAGTTTTTTTCAATTAATCTCCTGAGAAAATGCTTTTCCAGAGTTTATGCATCAGATCAAATCTGGAATGGGCATTAAATTTTCAGTCAGTAAAATGTCACTTGATATTTCAAAACTTATTCTGGGAGTTTAGGGAATAAAAAAATTCATTTTAATTTGCAGATTTTCTTTTGTGAAATATTGGAAGGCAACCTGTGGAAGCTGGTTCTGTCCTGGTTGGAAGAGCCCCATGATTTTTCTCATGCTAGGGTTTTGGCTTGTTCCCAGAAATGTTTTCCAGCTTCTCATATATGGAAATATTTTAATCTACTCTATATATTTTTAAGATGAGGATCTTTTTCCCTGGAGATCACAAATAGTTTAGGTAGTTTCTCAGAAAAGAAAGTTAGATCTTCTCAAATAATAAATTATATATGTATAGACATTCAGATTATGCTTTCTGGTGTTTGTCAGTGTATGGGAAAATATGGAATCCATAAATTGTTAATTGAGAAAATTGTACCTCATCTTTGATTTTGGAAAGCGGAGAATGAATGACTTAATTTCCCGTGTGAAACTTGTTAGTTCTGTAATGTAAGTGCTTTCCCTAAGTTACTCATACTACTTTGAGAAGGATCAAGTTGGGACTTGAAAAAAGATTCAAATGGGACTTCAGTGACAAAAGCTCCTCCCATTGGCATAAACAAAAACAAACTTCTGGTAATAAGGTAATAAATATGACCATCAAATGCAATTGATCATAAAATATAAACTTAAGTCAATAATTTCCACTGAGATTTATTTATAACAAAGTTCTATATTGTTTTTATATTTCAGTTATTTCATTTCTGAAAGTGGAATGTATGAATTACTAATGTGTTCTTTAAGAAAGATTTATTTTTTTTCCATAGATTTCAATCTCAGTGGTCTGAAAGCAGTCAAGATTATTGTGTTACTCAGATCAACTCTTCCTCTATGTACTTTTCTGAGTTTAGAATTTCTCACTATTTTATTAGTTTAGCATTCCCAAATATTATGTGGTTTTCCCCAACTGACTGTTGTAATGCAATCTGAAATATTATTTTATATATCGGAATTATATAAAATATTATATATGTTTTCCAAGCACTTTGCAATGAAACTGGTCCTTTCAATGTGCTCAGCAAATATCAGAATGATTTTTTCCCTGCAGATAGTCTTGAACACTGAAGCTATAAAATCATGAGTTCTCATAGCAATCCATTTATTGTTAATATTCTTCTTTTGTACAGGTATATTTGGAAAAAACTTTCCTATTCAGTGATAATGAAAAAAAAAAAGCCCTGAAATTCAAAATCAGCTGAAGTGTGTTTAGAGATAGGTCAGTCTTTAGAAAGAAAATTATAAATTTTAGGCAGGTTGGAAAATTAAACACAGTGTCTGTGCATGGTACATCTTTTGGGGTTTTTTGTTTGGCTTTTTTTCCCTCGTTCATCACAGACTCTCAATCTGAGCATTAGTTATGTTTATCCTTTAATCCTACTGTCTGGGTTTGTTTATGTAAGATTTATTATATAGCCAGGGTGGGTAGTTAAATTAAAAACAAAACTGACCCTCAGTCAGTGCAAGAATACCTACCTAAGAACAGATTACTTTGCCTAGGCAAGTTAAAATTATTCTCAATTCATTATATAAGAGTTGGGCTCCATGTTTCCTGAGTCGATATGAGACGGAAATTATTGCCAGTTCTATCTACCTTTTTGCACTTGGCTTTCTAATGCATAAGCAGCAAAACAAGGAGGAAGAGCAACTGTGTACTTTTTCTATAACTAGTACTTAAGACAGAAAGTCTTTTATTGACCTTGTTTTATTGTTCAATTAATTAAAACACTATTATAACTGAATGTACTTACTACTGGCTGTGTACAAATCTCACCCAGTAGGATTTTTGTTGGTCCCCGGTAGCCTTTACTTTACAGGAAATAATTAATAGACACCAGAAGCATATGGCTTGGGTGAACAAATATGAAAACCATAACATTGTGAGCGTTTCCACATTTTTTGGACACAAACACAATTTTAATAGGTATAAATTATCTCAGGGATTGAATTTATTTACCTTAAAATAATTGTTATTACAGCTTGTTCTGTTAGGGCATTGTAGTTTGAGGCTGGGTTCCTGGTGCTTTTGGGGATTTTTTTCCTTTATTTGATGAATGTGTTGGAAACAACCAGATTGACTACTTGTCTGGACAATGACTGAAGTAATAGTTGTGGCAATCACAGATGTTTTCACTCTCTGTGTGCATTTTGTATGCTGTACTCATAGGGCAAGTATAGAAAAATTGTGGTGGGCTTGTTCTGATGTGCTGATAGGAGCTACACATTAAATTCAGCCTGGTTTAAAAGGCCTACATGAGGTATACTCATCTTCAAAATGATTTAAGTATTTAAATGATGTCTAGTATAAGCCCTTTGTAGAGAGGTTAAAAAATTACTATATAGGTTACTAGAAATGTAATATTTTGCAATTTCATCAAGCCATATGTAACAGAAATCCAGGTCCACTAATGGGCTAACTTTTTGTGAAATCCTAATTGTATATTCTTTGAGTAAATGTTGTTTCCACTTCATCAAAAAAACTGAAGGAATTTAAATAGTTAAGTGACCTAGCTTAGAGACTTAAACACTGAATATCGCCAGCTCCATATATTCTCTGACTACTCTCTATGGCTTCCTACACATGTATTTAATTTTCAAATAACATTTTGGGAGGTTTTTTATTTTTTTTTGTTTGTTTTTTTGGTTGGTTTTTTTTTTTTTTTTTTTAATTGTGAAACACCCATGAAAGCCAAAGGCAAAATAAATTAAAAAACACTGTAGGAGAAGTGCTGAAATCCAAGTCGTACAAAGTAACTTGTGTAAAAAATTAACTGGGGAGTCCCCTTGCTACAGCTTACTTGCTTTGATGCCTATATGATTGAGTGCATATTCATACAGTTGTTCATGAAAAATCTAGGTGGAAATGTTGATTTTCAACTATTGCATCTTTAACAGTGATGTAGAGGTTAAATCCTAGTGGTGACTGTAAATCTGAGAGCAAAAACTTAGTGGAGTTCTACAGTTGTTCTGGGCTGTGGTATTAGTTGAATAGAGGAGACATAAGCTTATCCTGAAAATATGTTTTCATTAAAGTCATGTTTCTTTGCTCCAAGTGCAGCAGGTTTATGGGGAGATGTGGGTGTGTGGTCCTGTGGCTAGAACAGGAGAATGCAAGTTGGACAGAACTCTGTCTCTGCACCAGCTCTGCTGTTAACTTGGTGGGATCCTGGGCAAACCACGAAACCTCTGCTGTTCATTTTGCCCATTCATACTGGATAAAATGCTGAATTTTTTGAATGGGCCAAGAACTTTAATTAGCAAACATTTGATTTGCTTGATATTCTTGGAGAAGAGATGCTATGGAAGTTTAAAAAATACATATAATTATTCACCTAGACTACAAAGTTTAGCTAATATCCCAGCACAGCTATGCCATGAAAGATACAGCATTCTCTCTCATGAGTAGGTGGCTTTGGCTTTCAAAGGCCAAAGTAGTGTTTAATTTACAGTTTTAAAAAATTAAATACTGTCACACAGCTGTACAGTGTATTATTATAAACTAGGATAATATTGAGTATTTTTTGTCAGCTCACAGTAGGCTTCTTACAAAGTAAGTCTAAATCTAATTCACTACTGTCACAAACTTTTTAAGGTGTGGTATGACTGCAGGTTTTACTTAATTTCTCCCCTTAGGCAAATTTTATGTTACTTAATTATGTGTAATACTTTTCTATCTTTTTGCTCATCTTGGGAGCACTAACAAACAAATCAGGACGTATGTGTGTCAGAAGCAGCATGGACTGACAGAACAACAAATCAGTGGATGGGGGCGTGCAGGAAATGTTCTTTTGAGGCTTTGTATTCAGAGGGATTTAAATTTCAAGACTGACTTTCTGCACCTGAAATAATTTCTAGATGATGAATCAAGCTTGAGGCATAATATAAGGAAGGGTTGTTTTAATGCAGTGCAACAGGCCTACTAGGAAAATTTGGATTTGGGGGTCTCCAATATGAAAAAAAATGTCAGAGTAGGTGAGCTATTTTTTTTTTTTTTCTCCATGAAGTATTCTGCTGAAGTGGAAAAAAAATATTTAATACAAATTTTAAAAATTTAAAATTAGACATTACTTTGGTCAAAGTATAAAATAAGAGGAAGGCAAAGTCATTACATCAGCAGAAAGTGGATTAAATTTATTTGATCCTTGATAAAAACAAATGTTGTGTGCATGGGGAAAGGATTGCTGATACAGATTATTAGGATGTGATTGTAAAACATGTATTCTCCGTGATTGTCACTGTTTGCTAGTTGATGAGAAAAGTGTATTGCTGATTGTCTTGTAAAATTGGGCTCTACATCATGAAAGTGTTAAGTTCCAGGGGAGTCTAGCTTCTGTATGGGCTATCATTTGTAAATATCTATGTTTGCATTATGTGTAGCCATTGAAAGCAATTTGCATTTAGAAGGATTGCACTCCATTATCTCTGTGACAACAGGAACTTAGAGCTTCAATTAGTGGTCAAGCCACTATAGGAGGCATAGTACATTATTGTGAGTAAACACTGGATAAAGTGTACTGGGTTTTGTCTTGAGGAACTTAAAACTGAACAATGGACTGACAAACCATGGGCAAGATAACAAGGTGCTGCAGGCAGTAGGTTAATATAAAATGCAGTTGTGTTTGCAAGAATAAAACTGTTTTATTTTCTGTTTTGCTTTATGTTTTCAAGGGCAGTCATTCTATTGACAGTCGGGAGTTCCAGACGCGGACAAGAAAAGGAAGATGAGAGTGGGGATGTCAGGGAAAGCAAATGTTGCAAGAGGTGAGCATTTTATGAGCTCTTGTTTGACATAAATGACAGGGTCTTTTGCATTGCCCAGTCTAAATTAGTTGGTTCCTCAAAAGAGCTGACCTAAATAACAGTTCCTCAAAAGATATGACAGCAGCCATAAGGTAAGGAGATCTGTGATTATCCAGACAGGCTTGTCCAAAACTAATCATCTGAAATCAACTTGACTTTCTGTGGGAAAAAGTAGCAGGTGGCATGGATAATAGAGATCCAGCCAATACCATGTCAGGTTTTTCAAACCATCTTGCATACTTATCAAACAGCATCTTATTTGTTATATGGACTTGCTGAGATGATCCTGAAATGCATATACTAGTTTGATGGTAAAACATATTGAAGAAATTGCTGTAACTGATCATCTATCAAATAAGAAAGTTGTTTTAATGGCGTTTATTTGGGATTTGCTCTTCTGGGTCAAGTACCATTCCATGCTTTCCTTGCTGATAGGGATGGTAAAATAGAAAGGGTGCATATTGCATTGGTACGTGACACTATGCTACAACCAATATAAAAAATGGGAATAGCTTTGAAAACTATGTAGTAAAATAATATTGATAAAATTTAAGAAAAGGTGTCAAATTATGACCTTAGAAAGGAATAGTTTGATGGTCATTCTGTGGGAAAAAAACAAATGCATTAAAAATTGCTAGAGCTTCTGGTGGATTGTGATGCAAATAGTAGTCAATGTGATGGTTTTTGTAAAAATGACAAATGGGAATATTTACGTAGATGTATCATTTGTAGTACATGTAAAGTAATCCTTCACTCCATTAAATGCTCTTACGTTTTCATCTGAACTACAGTTTTCCGTCATTAGCCTTAGGTGACTAAAACAGTAGCAGGTGAAACATTAAGAAACGTTTTCTAAATTCCAAGAGTAGTTTGGTACTGGAATGATTGCCAGGTTGTGGAGCTTCCACTGGAGGCCTTCAGGAACTTGTTAGATCTTCATTAGGTAGCTGTGAATTGACTGCATCAGAAAAGAAAGGGCAGGGGCAGCCCAACTGAAATCTTAAACCTCTTTCAACCTTGTTTTCTGTGATTCTGTATATCATTCATATACACATATGAAACCCCTGCTTTTGAGTTATTACCCATTGTGCATGCTTAGCCCAGACTTTAGTGGGATGTGAAGTGAGAGTTCTGTGTGCATTGCCAGAAGGCACTGCTATTTTGACACTTCCATTCAGTAACATTGCCTGAGAATGTTTTGAAGAACGGAATAACTACGTGCCATGGACAGCATATAAATTTACTGACTCTGCATTTTACAAGCTGGATGTATTTAATATATGGCTCGATTCATTATGTTACACCAAGTTCATTTACAGGTTCTGTTACATCTGAGAACTTGCTAAGGGGCTCCTCCATGGCTCTAGTCCACTGACAATCACAGCTTTTCTAGGGTGTGATGTTTGTCTGAGTGAAGTTGGAAGTGAACCAAAATCAAGTCTAAAGTTGGGACTTCCTTAATATAGTGAAATATGTTCCATATAACTAAGACTTACTACATTTTGAGGATGGGATAGTTTTGTGTCTAATTTATGTGGAAAGGGAAAGGAAGTTCTCATATCTTTTCACAATCTCAAGTGTACATTTCCAGCTATTTGAACAAATACAGTGAAGTAAGTAGTAGCTTTAATTTCATGCCTCCTAGATTATCCTGAAAAAGATACGTAATCTCAAAGAGCTACTTAAATGGTGGGAAGCTTTTGAGATATTTTCACATGATATCTCTAAGGTAAACCAAGTAACTCAAGGAAAGATCTTTGTAGAAAAAGAATACAAGGAAGGCCAAAATGTGAAAAACTGATTGGATGATAGCTGCATTGTGTCTCTAGAGCTCTGTCTTGCGCCAGTGAAAGACAACTGCTAAGAAATTGTGTTTAACAAGAAGCCAAAAATTCTTCTGTAGTTGTGTGTCAGGTTTTTAGGTGGAGTTCATGAACCAGTTTGTCATTGGGTCCTTACTATATTCTCACAACCTTGTCTATAATAATCTAGGCTATGAATTACAGATTATTTTGTAGCCATTGTTTCAAAGAACTGCTTATCCTCTAATAAGAACCTTCAAGCATGCTGATACATACTGAGATCTAAAAAAAAAAATGCATTGATGTGGCCTGAAGAAAGCAAGCCCTTGGACTGATTTTATTCAGGTTACATAAGGTCATATTTTGTTGCATTATGTCAATTGTTAGGAAGCGTAGGATGACAAGTTTCTTACAGTTTAAATGATTAATTAGAAGCTTGGTTTGATATATAAAATTAAACACTTCTACCAGTATGGTCAGCTTTAATTTTGCGAACTGCAACTGTAATGGACTGCTATGGAAGGCCAGACATTCCCATGTCTAGCAAAAGCAGAAATGCAACTGGCATACAGCTCTTCAGCAGGAGATAAATCCGAACTGCTTAAGTCACACTTAAATTATATTTGCAAAATATTTCTAGACCACTGGTCTGTTCCCCTTTACATTTCATTACAAGATTTGAAGATTTCTGAGTGGGCGTTTTTGTTCTTCTTATCCCGTTACTTTTATAATATCCAATACATATTTAAAATGTTGAATTTCATCTTCTGTGTTACCACCAGTGAAACTTTGCTATAACTGAGTAAACAAGCATACGGTGAACATGCCTTTTGACTCAAGTTGTCATTAGCTGTGTTCTCTGAATGTTAACAAAAATAAATTAAATTCAAAGATAGGCTAAATTTTCCTTTCTGGTTCAGGATTCAATGACTATCCTATTGTTGCTCAAAAATTAGTAGATAAAAGCACCTCCAAACTAATTTCCTTCTCCTTTAGTCCTAGGTCTAGAATGAGTTTGGTAGTATGTTGGATCAGTGTTCTGGCACTGCTGACTTGCTATAGGCTGTAGTGGTTCCTGGGATCTCTGGCCCATATAAATGGCAATGGTAGGAGGAACAGTCATGGCTGTTGTTTCCCTCTGCTGCCTATCTGCAGTCTGTGGTCTCATAATAGAAAGGGACACTTGCGTGGGGCCAGAAATCTAGGCCTGAGAGTATTCTTGCTTGTGATTGAATTTAGTATGTTCTCCCAGTAGATTTCAGGATGCTGTAGAGCTGTGCGGGGCCATGGGATCCTTTGGTTATACTCAGTACAGTGCAGTGGTAGCCTCAATTTCCAGTATGGAAAGCCAAAGAAAAGCCAAGCTGGGGAAAATCAATGAAGAATCCTTTCACAGTTTACTGAGGCCTATTAAAGGGTGCAGAACACAGGAGCCTTGTGTCATTTCCCATGTGGTTAATTTCTAATGGGAGAAAAACAATGAAAGTTGATGGGTATGATATTTGAGTTACTTATCTTTTTTTCCTTTGGCCAGCAAAAACTTTTAGATCAAGCAATGTAACTTTCAAAGCTAGTATTTTACTGATTTATTTCTAATTATTTTTTTGTTATATACAAAATGTGATGGTTCTGATCATGGGTTTTAGAGGTGACCTATCCAAGCAAAACTTCAGACAAGTGAATAAGTACGTTTTTATGAATAAGTACATGGAGAGCAGCAGTGAGGAGCTGGATAAAAGAAAATTTTGAGAATAAGCAAGTTTAAAGCCACAAAAGTCATAGTTATGCTGAAGTAATAGTTTACCCCCCTGAGGACATTACCTTATACTGAGAGAGGATTGTGTGCTGCTAATGAATGCTGTAAGAGGAATGTCCTTTATGAGAGGTGGGGCTTGGCAGAGCTCTGAATCAAAATCTATGATGTTGAGACCTCTGTTGTACCATTTGCTCTCCATATCTGGTGGGCTTTCTTTTACCCTGCTTAGAGCCCTGGCATTGGTAGTGTAATTTGGATGTTGTATGTCCCATCAATATTCTTCTGATGCTTGGGGCATTAGAACACCATGTTTCTCCTCTACAAAAGTGAGCACTGTTGTCGGTGGGGACTCTTCTAAAATAATTTTCTATGACACAAAGCTCCCTTTCCCTGCCTACTATTTTAAGTGAAACACAACACTAGATGGGAATGGTCCGGTATTCTTGTCATACTGAGGAAGGACAGCATGACAGCTTAAAAAGCATCACCATTTAGCCTTCCCCTCCCACCCCCCAAGCAATGCAGGCACCTAGCCAAAGGGGTTTTTTACAATTATTAGTATTCTTCAGTGCTAAAACCTAACTTGAGATTCCAGGCAGGTGTAATTCAATCAGAATATTAAACCATGCTAGAATATCTTTTCCAGAGTGCACCAATGCACGGTTTAAATAACTACTGAGGTAACACACCAGAAAGTCTACGCTGCAGAAATGCTGGTAATTTTTCAACAAGTAGCAGTTAATTTGGCTGAATAGTTTTTACCAAACTGCTCCAGAGCAATTATCATTAACAATTACAATAACAATACTTCATGCTAGCAAATACATTTTCAAATATCAAGGTTACTTAACTATCAATTATATCCATTAAATGATTATTGATGAATTAATCAGCTAAATTAAGCTTCATTAAGTGATTCTTGCAGTAGCATTCAGAAATGTTGTAATTATTTCTCTCTTAAATACAGAGAAACTGATAGACAATTCAGGTGGTTTACTAATGACTATGTACAGCTTTTACTCTATAACCAAAATTGAAGGCTAGGTTCCCAGGGCTTCTCTTCTGCTCTTAAAACTACTAGCCCTGATTTGATACCTGTTCAAAAAACAAAGAAGAAAAAAAAAAAAAGAACCAAAACAAAACACCATATCACAGCAGACAAAACCCAAACACACACCACCACACCCTTCCCTGCCACATCCCCCCAAAAGACCAACAAACTAACTAAGCCAAACAACAAAACCTCTTCCACTTTATTTTACAAAATCTTCAATTTTACTTTAATGGCCACCCAAATGATATCTGAAAGCAATTCCATTTAAATAAATATATTTTAGAAAGGGCTTTGATACTTGATAGAAGTTAAAATAATAAACTTCTGTTTCATTTTTCAGACCAAATTT